TAAATATGCATTCTGTGTGAACGGCTTAGTTTCAGTTTTGACATAAACAACATCTCCACACTGATGCTCTCATTTTCCGCAATATATGAATGAACAACATAGCAGCGCCGCATCTATTAGGTTCAACTGGATAGGCTAACAAAAGCATTCAAATGCAATCAATGACACATACATCGTCATCGCATCTCGTGCACCACTGATAAGGCTGCCTGATGGCTGACGCAGACCTTAAGTTCGATAAGGTCATCACAAATATCTTAATTTGTGTTCCGAAGATGAATGAAAGTCTTATGGAACAACCCTGAAACAACATACAGAACTACCAAATTTTGCTATAAGTTTGATAGCATCATATAATAATTGCTGTTAATAGTGTTCATCGTCTGTTAATTGATTGATTTGATTTTTCCGTACATTTCTGCCATATGTACATTAACTGACAATCACCACTGATAAGCTACTACTAAATATATTGTAGAAACTTAACTATCCTGAAGGCTGAACTATCCCTTTAAGCAGCAAATCAACATAATAATTATTTCTACAGGATCATGTGACACTGAAGACTGGGAGAAATGGACTTCCAACCCCAAACTTCTGAACAGTAGTGTATGTGTGTTATTATGTAATGCTACTGTAATGTAACTCACCACAGGCTGTTTTGTGATGTCCACCAGATCCTTAATGTTATAATACTGGTGCTTCTCAAAAGCAGAGAACAGCATGTCCAGCACCTGCCGTTTATCTGCTCGTGCCCTCTTCCCTTCTTCTTTCTTCCTCTTCTCATAATCCAGCTGAAGGGAAAAAAGAACAAAGAGTGTGCATCAACAATCAACTGCATATCTGATACTTCAGACATCTGTTGGATGATGCAAAATCTTGACCTACATTATAGGAGTGATTAGCCACAGGTTTGTAGTTGGTGGTAACTGCTTTGTCGAGCTGTTGAGAAAACCCTGAGGGGTTTAGATAACTCCTCGATCTGCAGTCTGCAAAAAACCAAAACAATATCCTTTATGAGTTCTAGCTATGAGCATATTAAAGTTTGGATCAGACATCACAGACCTTGAAAAAAAGATTGTGTGTGGACCTGTATAGATGTAATCAAATCTATTTCTGTCTCATTTATGGCTTAGAGTCAGTTGCTCACTTGCTAGTGTTGGAGTTCAGATTTGCTAAGCATTAGGGCTTCCCTTGACTAATGATTTTTCTGGTCAACTAGTAGTCGTTCATTTAAAGCATTAGTCGACTAATCGAATGTTTATTAATAAACAATTTAAATCATAATAATGAGCCTTTAATTGCCTACATTGCCTAATAAGTGCTCAAGCACATGCATAAAGCTTGCCACAGCACACCGGTAGAAGTATTGATTATGAACGTGTCAGGGAAAAACAGCAAGGAGGCTGCATTAACATTTTAATAATTCATTGATAAACTAGTGCTTTCTTTGTTCTCGGTTCAAGAGATGAAGTCAGCGACACCGACACGTCATCTCCCCAGTAGTGGATGCGCCTGTATGCATGTTTCATATGGATTACATAATCTGAGAATATCTGTTTTCCATTTGCATTGGTTTATTTTAAAGTAGACATTTCACTCTCTATAAATATATTTTTTTATGTCTAGAAGGCAAGCATACGCAGATTTTCGGAGTTTTGCGCTCAAGTTCACAGAGACCGAGACGGCAGAAAGTGCATCCTGTTTGCTTTCATTATCTTACAAAGGTGCAATATATTGTTGTTATTGTGAGTGCACTCAAATAAACATAGATTCTTTACAGATTCTAAATATATATTACTCTTATCTGTATGACCAAAAATGAGGGAGTATTTTAAGTGCAAGTGAGGGCACCGGCGCCTCCATCTGTCCTGCAGTGAGCACGCTGCTGTTCAGCTTCCACACTCCGCACAGACACTTCAATAGCACACATTTCTCTAGTAAACATTAGATTGAGCTGCCATGTAAAGTTGTTGCTACTTACATATTTCAGAGGATAAGCCATATTTGAGGTCGATGAATGATATGCGAGCATTTGGATGTCCTGCCCAAGTACTGTATTACCACAAAGACCAATTACCAATGTGGATTTTTATTTATCTTTTTTTTTTTTCGACTAATACAATTTTGGTCGACCTCTTCTGGTCGACTAACGGTTGGTCGACTATTAGAGGGCAGCCCTACTAAACATACAAAGTTTTTGGCTCACACATTAATCACTTATGAGTTTCTATGACAATTATAATGCTGTTTGTGTAGACAGCTCACTACATCTTGGAATAGAGCTAGTGTGTGCATATGTGAACATACTTCTTCAGTCTCATGTAGTTTTCACTGACGGCCGGTCTGCATTCAGCTCTCTGCACCACCACTCCTTCCAATGCAATTTTATCTTTGTGAAGAAGAGAGACATTCATACTCAATGACAGTTGTAACTGTGTGCAATCGCTGCTGCAACACACAGCCTTTTACTGCTCAGTCATTACATTAGCAGTGAGAAGCGCAACAGTGCATTCGTTGCTCCAGGCTGTGAAATTTTCAATATACCAATTCTTTAAATTAGGCCATAGAAAGCATTTATAATTGCTGTTTTGTTGGCTGATTGTCAAATCAATGGCCATTAACAGTACAAGGCTTGACGTGGTCCTTTCTGGACCTCCACTCGAGCAGGGGGCGACGGTGAGCACTCACCTGGGCCTGTACCTGTACCTGAGCCGCCGGCCTTGGCATCTAACTGCCCTACGAGAGGGATGGCAACATGAGAACGGGGGGGAGTACATGCCAAATTAATCATGGCAGGCCAAGCCTCACGACAGCTTCTTACACAGTAGTCAGTGAAAGCAAACGCACAAATAGACACAAACCACGCAGATATGACCAACAAGCCACACAGAACCTCTGATCAGTCAGTTCATGAGTTAGCTTCATTGAAACCAATGTGGAAATTTATCTAAATTAATCCAAAAGCCACAAACCAAAGGTACCCTGTCTTCAAGGATGTGGAGATTCATATAAATCATTGGATTAAATTTTTTATTTAATTGTTTTTTTTTAAAGACAGTAAAGACTTTTTTAACATTGTTACATTTTTTTAATTACTTTTTATTCATTATCCTGAAAAAATAAATAAATGAATGAATGAATGTATCACTGTTTCAATCAAAAATATTAAGCAGTACAACGTTTTTCAACACTGATAATAACAATGGATGCTTAATTCATCGTTGCAATCACAGGAATAAATTAAAATTTAAAATGTATTAAATTAGAAAAAAACCCCGAAATAATAATATTATTTTAATACAGAAAAATTTTAATAATATTTCACAAAAAAAGTGTATTTTTGATCAAATAAATGCAGCATTAAAAAAATATATAATTCAGCCCCATGTTTAAATAACTGGTCCCAGGACATTTAACAGAAGAGAAGTGTCCAGGCTTTGGAACTCAAGCACATTCACAACAACTAAAGAAATCCTCACTGTCACAAAAAAAAAAAAAACATGAATTAGCATGGCAACTATACAGAGTTGGTCATGCATACACAACACCCAAGCTTCACAACACAACTCCATGTTAATCAAGGAATAATTAAGGCAGTGAGCAGATTTGGTTTCCAAAATCAGTGGTACTTGAAGGCCCATTCTAACGTCTTCTACCATTAAAACACCACAATCACATACACTGATTGAGAGGCAGAGGTTAGCAACTGCAAAAGCTTAAGAGACCAGATGAAAGCTATTACAACCTAATATCTGATTCATCTCACACAACAGACAGAGAGTAGAGAGAGAAACTGAATAGAACTGGAGGAAGAGAGTATGAGGCAACTGAAGTATGTACAGGAAATCCCAGAGATGGCAAGACATGACTTACCCAATGAGCTGTTTGAAAGCAAAAGTTCAGTAAACAGGAAAAAACTGACACTTTATAATACCTTTTATTAAAATGTAAATAACTAACATTATTCAAGTCTTAGCATGGCATAGTTTACACATATTCAGAAATGATTAACATTTTCTTGATCATGGACGGCACAAAATCTTATCTCAACACATTTAATGAGTGCCTATGCTATTTTTAATTTGTAAGACTGTCAAAACAGTTTTGAGGTTCATTTACCTAAATAAAGGATTTGTAGACACAATGTTTTTAGATTTGTGAAGTAAAAATTATAGTTTTGTTGTAACCAGAATTGGTACAAAATGCCCCAAGTGGCATGTTGTTGTTACTAGTGTTCAGTTTAATACATATCGTAATTAATGAGGTTATTATTCAGTATTTTCATAAATTAGATGTACATTTCAGGCATCTCTGCTTTTCATTAAAACCTATAGGTTAATTGAGTGAAATCATTCACTTCAAAGTGTTGTTGCTATTATGAATATCTTCAATTAAAATATGAGCATTTAAATATGTATATATTCACATGACCATATATTTCCTATTATAACACACTGACTGATGCATCTTCATCCTGCACATGCTAAACGTATGTTACAATTGAAAGTAAATGCACACTGTTCTTAAGTGACCATCTTAACCCTATTATTTAAAGTATAACAGCATTTTTAGATATTAACTTTCTATTTGTTAGCTCAATCATTAATAGTAGAGTTAAAGGAGATATCTTTTTCACGTCGCTTTGTCATTTTATTTAGTCAACACTACTCGATTTATTTGGAAGTGAACATGTTTTTGAGCATAGAATATAATCCCTTACAAAAATTAACCATGGTTGTACTACAAATAAACCTAAAAAAAAAAATATGATTACTATAGTTAAACCATGGTAACCACAAATTAACCATGAGTTTGCTTCAATAACCATAATTTAGCTGTGGTATTTATAGTTAAACTGTGGTTATACAAATGGCAGTCAATACGTCAAAAAAACATGCTTCCTACACTTTTACTGTGATAAAACAATGGTTCATTTTCGTAAGGAATAGAATAGGTATTTATTTACAGAAATTATCACACTTTACATTTATGATAGCATAAAAACCTCCAAGTAACAATTCAGTTGAGCCTTATAGCCACGAACTTACATGGTTAAAATTATATCGCAATAAAATAATAAAATATAGTTTTACATGGGGCAACCAAAAATTATATTAGGACCATCATGATTATTTGCATTGTAACATTATCACCATGACTGTTGATTCGCATTAATATAGTAATAGTGTACTGTACAGGAAAGATGGAATGGATTTAAACTGTAAATCTGACAACTGCAAAAATCAAAGTACAATAAAAAACTAGTGATGTAAATACTTTAGAATTTCAATTGTTAGCATCATAGTGCTGTTTTTTTTCATTAAGGTAATAATAATTTGGGATTAAGTGTTATGACACAACAAAAAGTTTTAATGGGTCTAAAATGGTCTTAACTTTCATTAAGCAAAATATAAATTATTTCTGTCTTTTATTGTTAGGGTGAAGCACATGTGATCTGAACTTGGAATAGTCTATGAGGAAAGCACACTCTGGTTCAGAGGAATTCACTGGATATAAACGATGATACTTAAGTATTCATTACCTATTAATAAAAAGGCAGCCTAAAAACTTATAGAAGTCACAAAACTTTTAATGTATTATCTTACAATTAGACACTGGTAAAAAACAAACAAAAAAAAAAACAGTCGGTCCTCCTAATTTTACATATAACTGTCAACAAAAGCTTGTCATGATGTTTTGATGATAATGATGATGATGATGCTTCAAATATTCCAATGCAGTACAACATCCATTAAATAAATTCTTGACAACAAGAGATACATTTGTTGAATGTCCCTCATAGGAACATGCGGTCTTTGCTGTGTGAAAAGCGGGTGTTCAGGTCTTGTGACTTCTTGAGCAAAGCTTTTTTCTGAGCCTCATCAAACCGATTGACTTGGAGGTCTGTGTCTCTGTCGAAGGGTCTTCTTTCCACAGGCTTGTTAGCATCCTCCTCAGCTTTTCTTTTCATCTTTTTAGTGTGTATACTGATGAGAGATTCACCACGCTTGGACTCCTAAAAAGAGATTGGCATTCTGAGACTGAAATTCATATTTTTCACAGCTTCATCTAGTAAACTAAAGGTGTGGTCCATCAGAGTGAGCTACTCCAAAATAAATTGTTTTACTCTTTTTTTTGATCAAATAAAACACTAACTGAAAGTATTCCAAACTTTTTACCGGTAATATATATATATATATATATATATATATATATATATATATATATATATATATATATATATACACAGAGGGGCACAAAATATATATATATTAGTGCCATATTGTAGAATATGCGTAGAAAAACAGCTGGATTTAACCAAACTTACATTATATTTTGAAACTTTTTCAGCCATCTCAAGCTCTTTCTGAGGCAGATGAGGTCCATCATCCTTGGCAGATTCACCTTTTTCCTTAGCCTCTCGTCGTTCCTAGGAAAGACAAACAAGAAGGGAATTTCCAAACAATCCCTGAAATCCCTCTTTTCCAAAAACCCAGCGTAAAAAAAAGCTTGTATTACCTGCAGAATCACATATGATGTCACTGGAAAATCTATGATGACTCTCCACAACAATCCCCACATTTCACATCTGAACTCAATTACGTTTATTGCTAACTCACCCTAGCTTTTCGCTCACAGTCAGCGGGAGTGTCAGTCCAAACTGAGCGGTCTTTGTTCTCAGGGCCTGATCTTTTCTTAAAGGTTCGTGCTTCCAGGCCCACGTGCTGCAACTCAGGAGGCAACTCTGTCATCCAGCTCTCTCTGGAGAGCACTTTGGGGCCAGTCTAAAAGCAGAAGAATCCCAGATTGTTTAGTCTGCCCACTGATGGGGTTAAATCCAAATCTATTTTAATGTTGAACAAAGTGAATCAGTCAAGTTCTTTACTGTCATTGTACAAGTACAGCATAATTACTTGTCCTGGGGTATGAAGTATGTAAACAGAAATAAAAACCGAAAGTATATAAGGCTTAAAATGAGAAGCATGTGCAAAGATAGAAAAATACAAAAGTAAAAAGTGAGAAGAAATAATAAAAAAACAATAATATAGTAAATAATAATATATCTATCTAAAATACTAGCTGAATTAATAGATTAAAAAAATACATAAAAAGCACTTACATCCACTCCTGTAAGTTTGTCTTTCATTCTTTGAGCTCTTCTTTCAAAGTCCAATGCCACAGAGTCCTGGGACGGTCCTTTTGATGGCATGGGTCCAACGACATAGTCATCTTCTTCTTCTTCACCACTTGACGCTGCTGGTGTACAACCTGGTCCTAAAAATCCTCTAGCATCTTCTTTTACCTCCTCTTCATCCTCATCTTCATCTGCATCTTGTCTTTTAAAGCCTGGAGGTAGAGCAGGTCCTACTACATGTGGTCTGCAGGGAGAGGAGAAAGAAAAAAAAAATCGATAATTCTTCTCCTTGAGCTTCTGAGCTTCTCCTGACGGCGGACTGCTAGTAACCCACCTTTTCCAGTTGTAGAAATTGGAGGAACGGTCTTATTTCCTTACATGACAAGTCGGTAGGACGGTTGGACTGGAGCTGTGTCGAGAATATGCCCCCTAAGAAGCCAAAGGACGCCACGGCAAACATCTCCAGCTCCATCGAGTCTGAGGACATCAGTTTGGAGACAACAGTCCCCACAGAGGACATATCGTCTTCAGATGAGAAAGATGGAGCAGGGAAGGTCACAAAACAGCTCCTGGAAAGAAAAGAGCTGCTTCATAACCTTCAAAAACTGAAGATAGAGCTGTCACAGAAAAATCTGCTCATAGACAACCTCAAAGTGGACCATCTTACCAAGGTAATGGTTGGTGAATGCAGAACTAATGTCTACATTGCCTTGAAATAAGTCTGAAAAATATTTTAACTTTTAGTTTTTCACATTCATTTTTTATGTTTTGCACATTAATTTGTAGATAGAGGAGCTAGAGGAAAGGCTGAACGATGCTCTCCATCAGAAACAGGTGCTCGCTCTGCGTCTGGACAGCCAGCTCAAACTACAGCTGGATGAAAACAGGTTCATTTACACAGTTTTACTGAGAAAAAGAGCCATTGGAAGTAGGGCTGTACAATATATCAAGGGTCAAATTGATGTTGGCTGAATAAATGGGCCTCTTTTATTTTAGTGGAATTGGTCTAGTTGGCCTACTTACTGTTAATCACAAATTAAAAAAAATGGTTACTCTGTTTTAATTCTACTATACATATTCAAAATAATAATAATTATAGTTAATAATTACTTAATAACCCCTTGTCATGGAAATTTTGTACAGCAGGTGCACGGTCAATGCTAACTGTAAAAATCTTCTCCTTTAATCCTGCAAAGCCCGAAATAATAGAAACTTAATTTATCTAAAATCTTTATTTTTATTACTTATCAAAAAAAAAAAAAATATATATATATATATTTAAATGGAACCGTTTATTGAAGCTTTAGAGAAAATATAAAATAAAAAGTTTGCACACTTTGCAGTGTGTGTGTGTGTGTGTGATTTATTCATTTTTTTCCTAAATGTATGTTATATTTTTATTTGAACGATTCTTCTGTGCATATGTTTAATCTTGTCTAATGTTTAACCTTGTAAGATTTAATCAAAATGGACATTTAATCAAAGTGGTTTTCTAATGAAAGCGACAGACTTCTCTCTGGTGATATATGTATCATTTAGTCCGCTTTAACAGCTTAAGCAGTTTTGAGTTGGAAGATGTCAACTATTTTGATTGGCTGTTCTAATTTGCACTGGTATAAATGCAGAATCAGGTATTCCAGACAACGGTGAATTAATCTTTCTTATTGGCATTTCTGTTATTTACATTTATTGCCACTTTCCCATATCCCAACCAGAGCTATGAGGAAGAGAGGAGAGCGCGCTCAGAGCTGGAGATCCGCTGTCAGAGAGTCATGCTGGAACTTGCTGACACCAAGCAGCTTATTCAGGAAGGAGACTACAAACGAGAGAACTATGACAAAATCAAACGGTGAGTGAAATGTCCTGCATTGTTTTTGTGAGTCCACAAGACCAGGCAACCATGCCATGCACACAGGACACAGTCTCAAAGCTAGCTATATAGAGCTCAAATCATTTTATTAAAATATAATTTCAATGCATTGGCAGCCCTAATTTTAGTATCCCCTGTCCACATGTACACTCCATTCAAAAGACTTCTACATTATTACAAAAACAAAAAAAGATCAAATAAATGCAGCCCTGTTGAGCAAAAGAGACTTCTTTCAAAAACATTACAAACGTTCTAATGCTGTGGTTGTGTGTGCATAATTATGAATATAACCTCTCTTACTGTGTCCACAGAGAGAGAGATGGGTATGAAACAGAGGTTAGAGAGTTGAGGAAGAAGTTGGAAATGCTGAACCTCACACACACTGCCCTGACCAAAGAGAGGAATGACTTAAATAAGGAGGTAAGATGACTGACAGATCAGCATATCCATTACGCCATGTTTAAAGGGGTCATATGATGTTGCTAAAAAGAACATTATTTTGTGTATTTGGTGTAATGAAATGTGTTTATGCGGTTTAAAGTTTAAAAAACACATTATTTTCCACATACTGTACATTATTGTTTCTCCTCTATGCCCCGCCTTTCTGAAACGCGTCGATTTTTACAAAGCTCATTGTTCTAAAAAAGTGCAGGCTAGGGTGAGGAATGGCCGGCGGATTTGACGAAGGAGCGGCTGGTGGGCTTGCGGCAACCACATGTGACGACCCCGGGCTGGACTCCGCTTCGTCCACGTTGAAAGCCGATCCAGCAATCCACAGCGTGAAGATGATGTATTTCCTCAGCGACCAGCACGGATCAGCTCTAGGCATACATCTGAGATTGACAGTTGATAATAAACAATGTTTCAGTTTATTTTCTTTTTAGACATATGTAGCAAGGTACAGTTCCTCTATATATTTGAAAAAAAGTCCATTATCCATTGACAAGGATGGCAGTACATGTTATAACTGGCACACTAGTCATGAAGGCAACCGGTAGCTAAATGTCAACATAAATCTATCGGTCACAAATTTTCTCCTGTTACTTAATTTAAGGTAGCCACTCTGCAGCAGTCTGTAACATTGATGCAGAAGGACAAAGACTATTTAAACAGGCAGAACATGGAGCTTAATGTGCGCTGCGCTCATCAAGAAGACCGTCTGGACAGAATGCAGACCCAGCTTGAAGACACAAAGAAAGCCAGGGAAGATGCCTATGAGAAATATGTTGCTTCTAGGTATGTGTGATAAATAATAAGGATGGTGCTTTCTTTTTACTTTTTCCAGCTGTTAAGTTTAATGTTCAATTTAATGAGCAATACGGCATTGGTCTGTATTAAGAAGGTTGCATGATATAAATAAATTAGGGCTGCTCCGATCAGGATTTTTGAGGCCGATCACAGAAAGCAGTATCTGCCGATACCGGTCACCGATACCGATCTTTTTAAAGCCTTTTTTTTTTAAACACAATAAATATCATCACACAACACATCATTCAATGCTTTTTACTTTTGCATTTAATTCTAGATTTATGTGTTAAGTTGCTCAAGCAAGTGGCAAAACATTTAAACTACTTTTCTTACGTTATCACAACTGTGTGCAGTGTGAACGCTTTAATCCGTTAACATGAGTGTGGAAAAAAATACTCACCACGTATGCACTGCAAACGGAGAAAAGGCTGATTTATACTTCTGCGTCGGACCTGGCGTTATGTGTGTGCGCTGCGAGTGCAAGTGTGCATGAGCGTATGGTCTCCAGGAGAGCGCTGAATGGTTAAACACTGGCAAGAATTAAAAAGTAATGCAATTTATAAACTTTAGTGACACTGCCTCGACTGTGCAAGTGAAAATTCCTGTGTCAACTGTGCAGCGTGCAGCTGGCTTATAGACAGAAGTGATGTGTGGTGATTTGAAGCTATAGGTGCATCTCAATAAATTAGAATGTCGTGGAAAAGTTCATTTATTTCAGTAATTCAACTCAAATTGTGAAACTTGTGTATTAAATAAATTCAATGCACACAGACTGAAGTAGTTTAAGACTTTGGTTCTTTTATTTGTGATGATTTTGGCTCACATTTAACGAAAACCCACCAATTCACTATCTCAAGTTAGAATATGGTGACATGCCAATCAGCTAATCAACTCAAAACACCTGCAAAGGTTTCTAAATGAACTTTTCCACGACATTCTAATTTATTGAGATGCACCTGTATGTGGTTTCAACAACCAGATGCATTTACACTGGTGCAGTTTCGTCTGGAATGCGGCCCAGACCACCTCCTGAAGTGGTTTGAGCGGTCGGATTTATATCCGTCTCAAATGCGTTTTGGAGGCCATTTACACCTGGTCTTTTCACGATCAGATAGCTATCCAATCAGACAAAACGCATGAAGTGACCAGGTGTAAACATCCCAGGCTACGTTCACACTGCGAGCCTTAGTGCTCAATTCCGATTTTTTTTCTCAGATATTTTTTTTTTTTGTATAGCTGTTCACATTGTTGTTTTAAATGTGGCCAATATCAGATTTCCAGTGTGAACAGATCATGGATCTGAACTGACCCGCATGCGCAAAAGAATGATATGAACAGGGTTTCCAGATCTTCACAACAAAATTCACCCAATTCTTTCTCAAAACTAGTCCAAAACTAGCCCAATCATGTTCAGGAAGGTAAACATCACGTTAGTGTTGTCGCGTCAACCCACGGAGTTGAAAAACATCCCGCGGCAACAGAGGAAAAGGTAGCCCAATTCTGCTGGGAAAATGTTGATTTGGCAACACTTAAACAGCTCGCCGTCATACGGAAGTAAACACGGAGGATATAAAGTAAGCGATTATGCGTTTATTTATAGTGTGATCTGCTGCAGGAACCAGCTAAATTATACACTGGCAATATGAAAAAATAAAGACAAGGATGTGACAAAAGAAAGCAGAGTATTGAAACTTTTATGATACGAGTCCTCATTTTTTGCTTGTAGAGTTGTCACTGTAATACACATGAGTTCTGACACATCACACTTCCACTTATTACCTTTCGCTACTGTCTTGATAACTTTGGGTATGTAAAATGTTTGAAGTGTCTCCCGTCAGCGCGGAGTTATGACGAATGTTGATCTAGAGTGACGTGAAAGCCGCATGAAATCCGACATGACCCGTTCACACTGCAGTCGCATTGCAAAACATCTGACATGGATCGGATTTAGTACTACATATGGAAGTGGCACAAATCAGAATTGAAAAGATCAGATTCCATGTGGTTTGTGCTGATCACACTGCTATGACACAAACAGATCTGAGTCACATGTGAGCAAAAAATAAAATCAGATTTGGGCCACATTTGCCTGCAGTGTGAACGTAGCCTTAGATACCGCCGATCAATCATCCCAATGTGATTATCGGCCGATAGTGATCGGTAGCCGATCAATCGGAGCACCCTTAAAATAAATGGGCCAAATCTGGTGAGTATTGTGGCAATATACTTGGATTTGGAGCAGAGACCCATTAATACTGTCAAATCTTTTTGTGAAGTCATTACAGTTTTACAGTTGTGCTGTTTGCATCCCTCCACCAGAGATCACTATAAGACAGAGTATGAAAACAAACTGCGTGATGAACTGGAGCACATTCGAACGAAGACCAGTCATGAAATCGAGAGCCTGCAGAGGGCATCTAAAGAGATGTATGAAAGAGAGAACAGGTGAGAGCATGCCTACATGTCTCTGACTGGACAGGGACAAATCCTTGAAAAATATAAATAACATAACTGTTTACCATGGAAAACCTGGGTATGCAAGGAAGTTTTAGAATTGTGTTTTCCAGTCCTGGAAGTCTCATTGGAAAATCTTAGAACATCATAGAAATTTCAATAAGAAATTTAAATATTTCTAATTATTCTTCTCTAAAATATTTCATTGGCTAGAAATAACTCCATAATGTTTAAGTCATTGTCATTTTTTTCTTTTTTAATAATGATCCTGTAATAATATACAAATTGATATATAAAAAAATGGGGGAACTCTGTTTCTTATGTTGGTCTTTTAACATTGTTAGGAAAATTAAGTAAAATGCAACTAGATACTGGATACTTAGTTTTTGCAAAACGTAATCATATTTTCTATGATATTTCATAATTTTGAGTCAGCAGAGGGGTCGATCGCTGCACCCCTAGTGACCAAAGACAAAATAATCTTAGCATTAAAAATGAAAGAAAGTATAGTAGCTACAACTAAAGAATATCTGATTAAAATCTAACAACTCTGCATGCTTGCTTTATATTTACTCTTGCACTACCACAATGCCATTTTCTGTACACCGTATCAGAGCAACATTATACTTGTAAGTTGTTTTGAAAATGTCTTGTTTCATGTCGGCCTCCAAATTTTACACATTGTTTCTCCACTTTTGTGGGACTATAATTCCTTTGTAACTGGATTTATGCCATCTCTCTGCATCAAAATGACTTATTTGTGATATATCAGTGGAAGGATGGGGTTTGCTTGTTACAGGTAACAAATGAATGGTGAAATGAACAGTTAATGAATGATCATTCTTCATATTGTGTCAAGGCTTTAAAGCACACCTGTGCTACATAATATACAGTATTGTTTCAGGAAATGTGTTAATTACTCTTTCAGAAACCTTCGTGAAACCCGAGACAATGCTGTCATTGAGAAAGACAGAGCACTGAATGCAGAAAGAGATGCCCAAGCCAAATATGATCAACACTTAGACCAGTAAGTTCATACACACCTCTCACATATGTGTGACAATCTCTAGCTGTCTTTATATTCTGATTGATATTTACTCAATAAAAAACACTATTGAGCAAATACATGTGCAGGAATTCTTGCCAAATCATCATTCAGTGGAAAGGAGCATGACAGCTGAATGTGTGTGAATCATAAAACTTTAATACACCAGTGAAATCTGTGGATAATGCGAAGATGCTGTACCTTCTTGGCGTTTTGAAATCAGAATGGTAACTTTGTAAATGTCTTTCAAAATTAGGACCAGGCATCGACATCTACTTCAACTGTTATGCATTCCAATATGATATCAAAGTATGCTACCATATAAAGTTTAAAAGGGTCAGTAAGATGTTTTTTTTTTTTTAAAGAATTTAATACATTTATTCAGCAAGAATTGATCAGAAGTGACCGTAAAGACATTTGTAATGTTGCCAAAGATTTATGTCTTACAAATGCTTTTCTTTTAAATGTTCAAATTAATGAAGAATCCTAAAATAATTAGCCACTTTCTACAAAAATATTAAGCAGCACAACTGTTTTCGACTTGATAATAATGAATGTTTCTTGAGCAGCAAATTGGCATATTAGACTGGTTTCTGAAGGATCATGTGACACTGAAGACTGGAGTACTGACTGCTGAAAATTCAGCTTTGCATCACAGGAATAAATTACATTTTAATATATATTTGAATAGACAAAAAATACTTTTTGTAATAAACTGTAATAATATTTTGCACTATTTCAGTTTTTACTTTAAAGGGGTCATATGATGCGATTTAAATTTTTCCTTTATCTTTGGAGTGTTACAAGCTCTTGGTGCATAAAGAAGATCTGTAAAGTTGCAAAGACTAAAGTCTCAAATCCAAAGAGATATTCTTTATAAAAGTTGAGAGTCAACCATGCCTACCTAAAATGGCTCTTTCTAACACGCCCCCACATATCTACATAACTATGTGGAAATATTAGCATAATGCCGCCCAAATGTGCACGCAAAGAAAGAATACGTGGTTTCAGGACCAGCAGTAGTGTTGATGCAGCCTTGTCAGGGAGACGCTGTGTGTTTCACAGCCTTGGTGACCAAAAGAGATTCTTTCAAAAGCAAACTAAAAATCAGACCCCAAACTTTTGAACAGTAGTGTAATTGGATCATTGTTATTGTTATTTTTTTATTATAATAATATTGTTTAACTGTAATCAAATGACTTAACTTTTGCATTTATAAGCACACAGTAGAGATGAGCTGTGGCGTTAATGCTTTTTATAGCCTTTGCGTGCATTTGTAAATCTGTGAAAAGGACCTTTCTTTAGGGCTTTTTTATGTTTTGCTTGTTTTTTCTTGGAGTCAAACATTTCAGGCTTGACTGGATTCCTCCAAGGCCAAATCAAATAATCTCTGAGTGAACTGATGATAGACATGCCCATATATTGTCACTGTAAGTAAAAGTGGGTGTAGTCATGTTTTTAGTGAGATGTCTATGTACAATAATTAACAACATTAAAAGTTGCAGGGAGACATATTTTAACCTCTGTTACCGCCTCGAGAAAAAAAGAAAGTGTTCTTGAACATTAGTTCTTATTTAACTAAGAAAACAAAGCCAAGATTTTGAAATATGTTGATTGTTGTCCTCCTGGTTATGATAGCTATAATTATTTTTGGAGCCTGGGTTCTTAAGGAGGAATTTGTCGTACAGTATATGTTCCCACGGTTTTAAATCCTGACAGAGGTGCCGAACATGCCTTTGTTAGTCATTCCATTGTGATGAAATGCAGTTGAATCCTTGTGTCTACACTGTCAAGATCAGGACACTGGTTCTGGATACTGGGCTGTGGTAGACGAATGTGAACAAATAGATAAGCTAAAACAAGTGGCTAGTTACAACATAAACAGAATTAAAGAAAATAATCATTGAGTTGTCACAGCTCAGTGAAGACTCACTGACAGGCTAATTTAGCATTTGAGCTCTAGTTTGACCTCTAGCAAGAAAACATGCTAAACTGGCTAGAAAAGAAAAAAAGACTGGTATTTCCACTTTGGTACACTCTACTGGTGCATGTCTGCAGCCAAAACATAGACAGTGGAAGCACAGGCTTGAAAAATTACATACTTGAAACTTAGCTAGTGTCCAGAACCTGCTATATTTTGAGGAACCCTGTTATATGCTGATTTTCTGCTTAAGAAATATTTCTTATTATTCTCAGTGTTGAAAACAGTTACAATGCTTAATATTATTGTGGAAACCATGATACATAATATTCTTTTTTTGTTCAGGATTCTTTAAATATAAAGTTCAAAAGAACAGCACTTAATTGACACAATTTTTTTTGGTAACCATGCGCAAGTCTTTGTCACTTTCTTTTTTTCTTCCAAACAAACAAAAATCTTACTGACCCCAAACGTTTGAACTGTAGTATAAATCTAAGCTGAACTTAGAAATAATTAAAAAAAAAGAATAAATCATTTGTAAAAACCAGCATAGACGAATGACATCCTCATTCTGTCATTGTAGAATTTAATATTTATTTCTCAAATCTCAATTTTTGGTAAGTAGTTAAATATATTTTATTATATTATAGATTTTAACATGAAAATAGCCATGAAAGATTGCATAGATGATTACAAATAAGTTACAGATGAACAAACAACATTTCTATTGCAATTTAATGTTAGAAAATATGCTGCACATAAACTTGTTTAAATGAAACTTGCACTACTCAAATAAAAATTTACAAAATATTTGAAAATGGGCACAGTTTGTCAAACTCTTGTGGTTATTTAAATACGTTTTTCTTACTTTACTACCACTCTCTCTTTCTTTTTTGCTGCTACCTCTCTTTCCTCTTTTGCTGTTAGCTGTATTTTCTGTTTTGTTATCTCTACACTTTAAGATGTCTTTTTTTTTTTAATGTGGTAGGGGATATGGGTGTCTAGAAGTGCAGGTTGTTGCCCCTCCTCTTTCTCCTGAGTGGTCAGCCCTTATTTGCCCATGTGAGAGGCTTACGGTGTCACTGAGCTCCAGCCACATGCCTAGCATTCCAGCAGATACTCTACACACAGTTGTTGGGCATACCCCACGTTTTTCAGCCCCGGGGAACGGATTGTTCACATTCGCAGAGAAGCTCGATCGAGGGCAAAAACGACAGATGCTCCTTTACCCCGCTCTTGAGAGGTCGAGTCTACGGTCCGTGAACATGTTGTCCAGCGACTCTATTTTGGGCTTACAAATTTAAGTGGGGGAAGGGAGAATAGAAATGAATGTTGCATTGCATTATAAAATTTTTGCAGTTGTCAAATGTTCTTGCAGGTCTGATTCCAAGATGACAAATGCCGATGTAGCAAAGTAAATGGCACAAACATAAATAGTGGTGCTTGACAGTTTGTGAATCCAAAATGTCTGTATTTCTCCATAAATATAACCCAAAAGATCATCAGATTTTCACGCAAATCCTGAAAGTAGACAAAGAAAACCTAGTCAAACAATGGAGACAAAAAATTATACTTTGTCATTTATTTTTTCTGGAAAATGATCCACTATTACAGGTGCATCTCAATAAATTAGAATGTCGTGGAAAAGTTCATTTATTTCAGTAATTCAACTCAAATTGTGAAACTCGTGTATTAAATAAATTCAGTGCACACAGGCTGAAGTAGTGTAAGTCTTTGGTTCTTTTAATTGTGATGATTTTGGCTCACATTTAACAAAAACACACCAATTCACTATCTCAACAAATTAGAATACTTCATAAGAAGTTCTTCAATCGAATTTGCTTGACAATCCTGATAAGGCTGCGATTCTCTCGGTTGGTTGTGCGTCTTTTTCTTTTTCCTTCCACTCAACTTTCTATTAACATGCTTGGATACAGCACTCTGTGAACAGCCAGCTTCTTTGGCAATGAATCTTTGTGGCTTACCCTCCTTGTGAAGGGTGTCAATGATTGTCTTCTGGACAAATGTCAGAACAGCAGTCTTCCCCATGATTGTGTAGCCTAGTGAACCAAACTGAGAGACCATTTTGAAGGCTCAGAAAACCTTTGCAGGTGTTTTGAGTTGATTAGCTGATTGACATGTCACCATATTCTAATTTGTTGAGATAGTGAATTGGTGGGTTTTTGTTAAATGTGAGCCAAAATCATCACAATTAAAAGAACCAAAGACTTAAACTACTTCAGTCTGTGTGCATTGAATTTATTTAATACACAAGTTTCACAATTTGAGTTGAATTACTGAAATAAATGAACTTTTCCACGACATTCTAATTGATTGAGATGCACCTGTACATATCTGTGAGTGGCAAAATCTCTAGGATTAGCAGCTAATTTGAAGGGAAATTAGAGTCCATCTGTTCAGAGGTGTTATCAATCAAGGGAATGATTATCAGGTGTCAGTGTGTGCCCCGTTTTATTAAAGAATGGGGATCTATCAAAGTTTGATCATGTTTGTGGAATTGTGTCATTGCATGAACAAAGGAGTTCTCAGAGGACCTCAGAAAAAGTTATTGCTGCTTATCAGGCTGGAAAAGGTTACAAAACCATCTCTAAAGGATTTGGAATCCACAAATTTACAATCAGAGAGATTGTGTACAAATGTAGAAATTCACGACCATTGTTGCCTTCCAGAAGTGATAGTCCACAAGGTTGCAACGGGCCCCGGGGTAACTTCTAAGCAATTAAAGGCCTTTCTCACATTGGCTAATGTTCATGAGTCCATTATCAGTAGAACACTGAACAACAATGGTGTGTATGGCAGAGTTGCAAATAGAAAGTCACTGCTCTTTAAAAAAAACATTGCTGACGGTCTTAAGATCATATGGACAAGCCAGAGGGCTATTGGAGAAAGGTTTAATGGACGGATGAGACCAAAATCGAAATTTTGGGTTTAAATGCGATGCGTTATGTTCGGAGAAAGGAAAACACTGCGTTCCAGCATAAGAACCTTATCTCATCTGTGAAGCATGGTGCTGGTGGTATCATGGTTTTACTGCATCTGGGCCAGGACGGCTTGCCATCATTGATGGAACAATGATTTCTGAATTATACCAGCAAGTTCTAAAGGAAAATGTCAGGACATCTGTCCAAGAACTGAATCTCAAGAGAAAGTGGGTCATGCAGCAATACAACGACCCCAAGCACACAAGTCGTTCTACCAAAGAATGATTAAAGAAGAACAAAGTTAATGTTTTGGAATGGCAAAAGTCAAAGGAGTCAAAGTCTAGAACTTAATCCAATTGAAATGTTGTGGAAGGACTTGTAGCAAGCAGTTCATAGGAGGAAACCCACCAATATCACAGAGTTGAAGTGGTTCAGTATGGAGGAATGGGCTAAAATTCCTACAAGCTGTTGTACAGGACTGTTCAGAATTTACAAGAAATTTTAGCTGCAGTTATTGCTGCAAAAGGGGGTCACAACAGATATTGAAAGCAAAGATTCACATACTTTTGCCGCTCACATATGTGTAACACTGGATCATTTTTCTCAATAAATGCATGACAAAGTATATTATTTTGGCTCATTTGTTTGATTGGATTCTCTGTCTACTTTCAGGACTTGTGAATGTCTAATGATCTTTTAGGTCATATTTAAGTAGAAATATTGAAAGTTCTAAAGAGTTCACAAAGTTTCAAGCACCACTGTATATGTATCAGACAACCACTCCTTACAACATACTGTTCCAACAGCTTCCTCACCCTCCCTTTTTTCCCTGAATTTATGTAAATAAACAAGTTTAATATACTTTAAGCCAATAAATAGCTTATCAATATCCAGTCTTACTCCTTAATGTATGATGGGAGTTGTCCAATTACGCACAATTTGTCACAATTATTACTATAGGTGTTGGTCACCACTGTGATGACATATCCTTTGTATTCTTCACAAAACTGCCTACATTTGGCTCGATGTTAGTGACAATGCACAAACAAACAAAAAAATCTTGACCTGCCAGTTTGGCCCCTCCGTAGGTGTGGTTACGGTTTCAACCAAAACCCCTGGAGCTCTCCGAAATGTTTTAATCCTTTAGAGACCTGGCTATAAATGTAGGAGGACACAAACAGATACTCAATCTGTTTGGGCACGTTGAGATTTGGGGTTTCAAAATAAAGCGGTGACTTTCTGCCCTAGGAAATATACTTGGCACATTAGAGGCGGTCTGAGCTTGGCATCACCCTAATTTAGCATTCGCTTAGCTTAGCCTAAAGTGAGCCACAGCGGAGATTATACATATTTCATGAGCCCCCCTCACTCCCCATTTTGTTTAAATCACAATTTAAATGGCAGTGAAGTCTATTTCAAATAAATGCTGTTCTTTTGAACTGTCCATTTATTTCAGAATCCTGGAAAAAAAGGTTCCACAAAAATATAAAGCAGCAAAACTCTTTTTGACATTGATAATAATAATAATAATAATAATAATACCATTTTAACATCATTTTATAAATGATGTTCTTTTGAGACTTTTTTTTATTCATCAAGGAAAAATCTATTAAGCAGCACAACTGTGAGTGTATAACTGAATAACTTCAACTGTGATAATAATAAATGTTCCTTGAGCAGCAAATCAGTATATTAGAAGGATTTCTGAAGGATCGTGTGACCCTGAAGACTGGCGTAATGATGCTGAAAATACAGCTTTGCCATCACAGCTGGTTGTGTAAACTTTTTAAATTAAATACATTTTTACTTTTTAGACTAACTTTGCATGGGCGAAGTTTGCAGAATCATTGAAAGAACAACGATTCTGCAAACTTTTCCCATGCAAGGTTAGTCTTAAAAGTAAAAGGTTTTCACTGTTTTCATGATGGACAGTGTGCAGAATGAGTGAATGCAGATGCACTTATATCTGTTTTTGTCCAGGTTCAGGCAGTTGCAGCTGAGTTCAGACAGCAGGGTGGCAGAACTGCTTAACCAGGTGAAGCTGAAAAAGTTTGAGTTGGAGCGTTCCCAGATGGTCCAGGAGGAGACTGCCAGGAACCTCAGCCTTTGTCAAATTGAGTGTGAGAAACATCAGAAAAAACTGGAGGCAAGGCACTATAAAATAGAAAATTTTTACTTTTTAGACTAACTTTGCATGGGCGAAGTTTGCAGAATCATTGAAAGAACAACGATTCTGCAAACTTTTCCCATGCAAGGTTAGTCTTAAAAGTAAAAGGTTTTCACTGTTTTCATGATGGACAGTGTGCAGAATGAGTGAATGCAGATGCATTATATCTGTTTTTGTCCAGGTTCAGGCAGTTGCAGCTGAGTTCAGACAGCAGGGTGGCAGAACTGCTTAACCAGGTGAAGCTGAAAAAGTTTGAGTTGGAGCGTTCCCAGATGGTCCAGGAGGAGACTGCCAGGAACCTCAGCCTTTGTCAAATTGAGTGTGAGAAACATCAGAAAAAACTGGAGGCAAGGCACTATAAAATAGAATCTGTATGGCAAAGATAAACCTGAACAAAGTGATTTCCTTTAGCCTTATTGCATGTTGAATCCATAGACTGTATAAAAACATGGACATAGTGTCCGTGACGTCACCCATAGATTTCTGAAGAGCGTTTTTGAAGCTCAAAGTGGGCGGAGTGGGCCGTCGCCATCTTGGCAGCGTGTCACCGAGCGCAACTCCCGGATAATCGAAAATGGACAAAAAGGCAGGAGCTGGTTGCTGAAGCCACGCCCACCTAGCTTCACAGCCGTGTCAGCAGCGGCAATCCACCTGTCACTCAAGTGGTGGCCCTTAATTATGCAGACATTTAAGGCTTAATATAATTTAAACAAATGAGTTATAAAAAAATTCACCCTCCTCACAGTTGTCATGAAGGGCATAATTAGCTATATAGACCAAAATAATTTTTTTAACCAGGTGGTAAACATGTTTTTTTCTGCTGTAAAGTTGGGCATTTTAACATGGGTGTCTATGGGATTGACTCCCTTTTGCAGCCAGCCTCTAGCGGCCAGTTGACGAATTACAGTTTAAGTCACTTCCTTGTTGGCTTTACTAAAGAGAGCTGGAGGTTGCCGCTTGGTTGAATCCTGTTAATTGCTTAGTAGTTCAAGCTGTTAATTCCCTAAAGGATTACTTAGCCATTTTGTCATAATTTACAACAACTTCATGCCATTTCCAACCGGCATGACTTTGATTTTTCCAAGGAATACAAAAGCAGAAATATTGAAGTTACTGGCTTTTTCTTTTTACCATATAATGAAGTAAATGAGACTAGTTCCAAAATGATAGAAAACAACATAAAAGTACTTTTTCAAGTCGTATGGGCCATACAGGTTTTTCCAAGTCTTCTGAAGCTGTGCAATTGGGATATGCAATATATATACGTTTTATATTGGTTATTGCATTAAGAAAAGTATTGGTATCAATGGATAATAGATATTAGATATGTAATTCAACAATTTGTTAAAATTGTATGATAAAATAAATCGCATAAAGGTAATCTTTTGATTTAACAACTTATTCTATTAAAACATCAATCATTTCATAACCCTGTTTATAATGTTAAGCATTTAAATCGCACCATGAATCTTTCATAAATGTACATTTATAATGGATATAACAGATATGAATTTTTAGATACCTAAATTCACTTAAAACAATTTAACTTTTTGGTGTTTCATTTTCAGTTTTAAGAGTTTTATTTTTAATTGTTTTAGTGTTTTACTTTTTAGTGTTTCAGACAAAATTGTGTAAAATTTTAATATTATGAAAATCTTACATGACATTTTTGATACATTGCATTATTATCAGCTTTTCATGTTGTACAAAATGTTAATACTGGTGCATACATACATATGATTTGCATGAGGAATTTTTTTTGGGTAATTTTGCTTTTTGTATCCCAGTTGAAAGGCCAGTACGTTCTTCAAAAAATGTTCCTCCTCTGCTCCACTCTTTGGAATGGCATGAGGATAAGTGATGATAGAATTGTTATTTTTGGGCGATCAGTTCATTAATCATTACCTTATGATTTAATTCTTCCAATAACAGGTATATAATTCTTATGAGCGTCACACTGAATCTCAAATCATTTAGACACCAGACAAAGGTTGAACCCATTGCTAGCCTCATAGAATAAGGACTGTACATATTTGTCATAATCATAAAACTTATTTGAACATGATGTTATGACACCACCCTTGTTACTCAATTTCTGTTGTTATCTTTGTCCCTCTCTTGATCTGCTTCTGCAGGTTCTAACAAAAGGGTTTTATGGGCTACAGACATCATCAGAGAAATGCATCACTGAATTGCAAGCCCAGAATTCTGAAAAGCAAGCACGCCTGGAGACATACGAGCGGTTGGAAAAGGAGCTGGATGATGTTACCATGCAGGCTGCAGAGAGTAAGACCAGAGACTGATTCAGTCATTGCAACTGAAGACCAAAGATCAGCACATAAGCAAGGTTGCACACTGCAATTTAGGAGTCTGTTAGGCCAAGTCTTCCTGAAATTCTTACCCGAGGGTCTTATTTCTGCATATATGATTCTGTAGATTTAAGGATGTCAAAGCTGTGGTAAAATTTGGGATTAGGAGTCTGTTTTATGACTACTCGTACTCATAGATTAAGAATGCCATACTCAATCAGACCTGAAGACTGTTTGACAAAACGGCCCCAGGGCTTGTCCTTAAACAACCTTCTTCTAAACGCCAGTGAATATGCTGACACTGAACTGAGGTGATGCAAAAGGCTGGCCTAGCCAGGTTTTAAAATCCCTCAGGTTAACAACAGGTTTTTAACCTCATCAAGTTAATAACAGGTTTTTAACGTCATCGAATCTGCATAGATCAGACATAAAAAAGAATGCCTAGTGCATGGAATGCAGGTTGATACTGGATGCAATCCTTTGAAAAGTACATTAAAAGGCCGTTTGTACATACAATGACTTGAATACACATTAACCTGTTTTTAATTTCTGAATTAAGTTTAATTTTGATATTTGGACCATAAAGTTAAAAAGTATATTAGGGTCCAAAAATCATTAATGGTTATTATTGTTCTTTATTATTTGTTCATGAAAATTACTAATCTGGTTACTTGATGCTTTCATGACAGTTAATAGCTCACTGGAGGGGAAGATTTTCAGTGAATTACATGATCTTGAATTTCTATTTCTCACACAAAAAAATCTGATGAACTATTGCTCCTCCTTATATACTACATATCATATGTTATTATATATTAATTATCGTGATATTATTATTCATAATCATATTAATAATAAAAAAAATTATATTATTATGTATATATTTTGTAAGTAGTGAATAATATGTATATATATATATATACACAGAACACACATATTATGCATCGCGATTAATCGATTGACAGCACTAATATATATATATATATATATATATATATACACACACACATTTTTTTATTAATGTTAATTATTTATTTGGAAAATACAGATTAAAATGTGTACAGAAGTAAAATTTCTTGAAAAAGGTGTAAAAGTTAAAAAAAATTATATGAAACCAACATGAATTTCTAGTAACTTGGCACACGATTTGTCCTATTCTTTATTTTGGACATTCTTATTTGTTATTGCTTTTGTCCAGTTGGTTGTAAAAACTTGCTCCCGAGTCTCTAGGCCTCATTCTCTTTTTAATCTGTTTAAACACCACTTCAACATTTTTCACTCATACATAAACTTTCCTACACAGTATGTATTGTAAGAAGATAGAAAACTGTTTATAGTCCTATTAGTGCTCTCCCTTCTGGCCACGATACTAGCTGGGTGGTCTAGACATGCTTGCTCTTAAACATACTGTTTCTCCTTTTTTTGTAGTGGAAAATGAAGATGAGGCAGAGAGGGTGCTGTTTTCATATGGTTATGGTGCAAACATTCCATCAACTGCCAAGAGAAGACTGAAGCAAAGGTGAAGTCTGAGGAGGTCATTCGTCTTTGAAAACCAGAAGCTCATCTTTGTGTTTACTGAATGTTTTCATGTCTGCGTGACTCTAACCATAGGTTTCTGAATGTGTGTGTGTGTGTGTGTGTGTGTGTGTGTGTGTGTGTGTAGTGTTCACTTGGCTCGCAGGGTTCTGCAGCTGGAGAAACAGAACACACTGCTTAGGAGAGACCTGGAAAGACAAACGGCGCACGGCAGTCAGATCTCTGAAGAGGTGCTGTTTTTTACTCTTTTGACACGAATGTTTATTGTTGACACACATATTGTACCTGGGTGGGTGGGAATAAAAAAAGTTGGCAGCAAAAAGCTTCCTTCCTTCCTTCCTTTCTTTCTTTCTTTCTTTCTTACTTACACAACATGTTCTCTCTGCTGAATCCCTTTATCCATTGAGCATGTTTTATTAGATTGTGCTGGTTTTAACTCGTTGAGAATTTTTTTTATTCAGTTTATTCTTTTAAAGAGATTTTTATTTACACACTGCCCCTCAAAATGTCTGTGCACGGCCCTGTTTTTTGGCAGTTAGTAATACAATTACTGTAAGTTTTATGACGTAACACTGAGACAGGTCTCTGGTTCTTGGAAAGACAGTTCCTTGAATTTTGGATGTTGCATATCTCTTGCCAAAATCAATGTACTTGAAGGCAGAGCTAAATAAAATGTAAAGGTTTCCCTAGCTTGCCATTTTTAAAGCAGAGGGATGAAATGCTGGTGGTAAATTTGGGCAGTTTAAATGGTGTGAAATTAGACTGGTGCAGGACGTTAAAATTAATTAATTTAATTAGTCTACATTGTCTCATTAATTTGAAACACCCCTACTTCACAAAGCCCTTCAGTGTTTTTTGCTCTGTTTACACGGCTGCTGCAGACTCTATAGAGCCATGTCAGAAGCAGCCATGTAAAAGCTGTGAATGCTGTGTTTGCATTCTGAATTGAATGTGGTGTGGTTAAAAAAGAAGTCTATGTACTGCAAAATAATGGAAAGAAAGCATGCCTTTTTTTTGAGTAGTACAGTGTAGTCTGATACATGATCAAATGACTCATTAATCATTAAAAACAAAAAAGACAAGTTACTGGTTTGAATCAGTCTCGTGACCAAATCAACTGAGTCATTTAGAGCAGTTACTGAATCCACATCTGACTCACTTACTGATCTGTGAGTCATTACTTTCAGTAAATGTCTCAAAATTAAAGTATCACTCTCAGAAATAAAGGTACAGCAGCTGTCACTGGGGTGGTACCTTTTCAAAAGGTACTTATTTGAACCTAAAGGGTCCATTTTGGTACCTTAAAGGTACATATTGGTACTTAAAGTGTACATATTAGAACCTAATAGTTACAAAAGTGTACCTTTTGAAAAGGTACCGACCCAGTGACAGCTGTTGTACCTTTATTTCTGAGAGTGTAGTGGTTGTGATCAATCAGTTTGTATGACAGTGGGTACAGTAGTTAACAATACGCACACACATAGCTTGTGCTTGATAAGAAATGTGAAATGCATTGGGTGGGGTTCAAGGGGGGTGGAGGGGGGTTCATGTAGGAATAAATTGAGAGCCATTGAATGACATAAAGTGTAATATAAACTAGTTTTTTTGGTTTTGACCTTCATATGGTCTTGTTAGATGCATTTGGGGGAAAAAATGCATTCATTTCACTTTTTGCATTCATTATAATTCTGTTTACTCAGCCCCAATGGCATCAAACCCCCATCCTTATTGCAATGTTCAAAACAACTAATTATTTGATCAACCCATATTTGGAAATTCCTATTCTGAAAGAGGGAAAAAAAGCACCATAACAGTGTTGTGGCTGAAAGAAACTCCTGAACAAACATCAGCTGTAGTCTGCTCCACATCTGAATAATCAAGGGGTTATTAGTTATTAGGGGTTATTATTAATTTCCACCCCTTTTACAAAATGCATAGTACACTTCCAATGGGTGCCCGAAGCAGAATTGTCTTATTGTGCCTCCTCCCTCAAATATTATGGAAGTAAAAAAAAAAACACTAATATACGGGTCAAAGTAGAACTTTAATAAAATATAAAAGTATATAAATAAATACATTTTAATTAAATTGTATTATTTACAAATTACAATTGTGGCTCTAGACAGTTACCTATTGCTATGATTTTATTAATACAGTTGTTGGATTGATTTTATAGTCTCAAGCATTCAGAAATCATGCAAAAGAAAATGAAGCAGTTTTACTACGATACATCCATGGTTAATTTTTAATAAGGGTTGTGATGTCCATGTGTTTTTGTTGAAGAAATTATAGAGGCTGTAGCATTTCTATCACAAAAAGGTGACCAAAATGTAAATATTAAGTAGATATTTGATTTAAATGTTTGGTCAATATTAAACAAGGATTTGATCGTCCTGTAAGTATAACAGCAGGAATTACCAGGCCTTTGGCTCCCTTTGCAGACATTTGTAATGACATGTAGGCCTAATGTAGCCTACATAAATTTTGTATTACATTGTATTTTAACAGTGTTATTCAATCAATCATTATTGCCTCATTGTTTTTATATAATGCATTTTAAGTCATTTTAAAGGCTGTTGTTCGCTTAGGTCTGTTTTTATAACCACAAAATATATATATATCTTAATACTTCTTTGTAAACTATTATTTGAAGTAACAAAACCATGGTTAAAGGGATAGTTCACCCAAAAATGAAATTGTGATGTTTATCTGCTTACCCCCAGGGCATCCAAGATGTAGGTGACTTTGTTTCTTTAGTAGAACACAAACGAAGATTTTTAACACAAACCATTGCAGTCTTTCAGTCATATAATGTAAGTGGATGGGAATCACGGCTTTGAGAGTAAAAAAAACATACACAAACAAAACCAAATTAAACCCTGCAGCTCGTGGCGATACATTGATGTGTAAAGACACAAAATGATCGGTCTGTGCAAGAAACTGAACAGTATTTATATAGTTTTTTACCTCTGATTCACGCAATGTCCGAACTGTTCGAACTGTCCTGGGCGCGTCCTGAGCGCTCTGGGTATTTGTAGCTCACAACCGCAACAGGGGAGGAGATGTGGTCATTAACTTCTTGAACAACAGCGATCTTGAACTGCCCATCACCATAAACAAAAAAAGACGTTACAAAATGACCATATACATAACGACAAGCAGCTTTGAACACACCTTTGAAGTTGTGTTCAGCAACCAACTTCACGTTGTTGTAAAAGTCAACAGAATAAATGAGTCAATGACTATTTTCTTTTCAATAATTAACACTAATGTTAAATAAAAACTGTTAGTAAAACAGAATACAAACCCACTTGTTTGCCTTCATCTCAACCCTCTTTCAGGATGTCTTCACAGAAAAACTCTAAAAGAAATGGATGTGACCAAAAATGAAATGATTGAAACTGAACTACAGAGTAACATGCAGGTTGGAGATGGTAAAGCAATCATAAAGTATTTTAAGTTCATAAAATCAACTGCTATCCCTAATACTTTCCAATTCAAACAATTGTTTATAAATTGCTTAACTTACATTTCCAATGGTCTCCATTTGCATCTGTCATATGAGCTTGTTAGATCAACTATGTCTTACAATATACTTCATTATTTTCAACTAAATAAACAGAAACACAACCAAATGCTTTATACACATTTCATAGCATATGTGTTGCTTACTTCTGTATAAATTCCAGCGTAAGTATCATCTCCTCTGGGTATTTGTAGCTCACAACCGCAACAGGGGAGGAGATGTGGTCATTAACTTCTTGAACAACAGCGATCTTGGACTGCCCATCACCATAAACAAAAAAAAGACATTACAAAATTACCATATACATAACAACAAGCAGCTTTGAACACACCTTTGAAGCTGTTCAGCCACCAACTTCTTTTCAATACTTAACACTAATGTTAAATAAAAACTGTTAACAAAACAGAATACAAACCCATGATAAGAATGCAGGGGTGCTTGAGATTCACAGTACAGCAGCAATAATGTCCTGTCATTAGAAAGAAAACAAAACAAACACTTTTGTAACGAATCAGCTCATGGGGAAATATGAATAATTAATCATAACTAGTTATAATTAATTATGAATATTTAGATCCACTGTAGATATTTACTTGACCTCTCAGGGTCAACTGTCTTGTCAATTCTAAGAACGTTAATTTCCTGGTTAAGGGAAATAACTTCCTTACTGTACAATTCTACAAAAGCTTGTAGCATAAATCTGCATGATTAAGTGACTACAGTTATGAGCAAACAATGATTTGTTAAATCAAATGAAAAATGGTGTGTCTGATTGGTCCAGACGCTACAACTTTGAATGTCATGAACTGCTGTCCCTTTAAAACATGTCACATATCTGACATGCATCCGATCTACACCCGTCTTTACGGTCAATTATTTTAGACTGTGTTGTTTACGAGGTCACTCGCCCACAATGGTCATTTTGGCATAATGTCGAGTGCATTTGTCCATTACAGTGCAAAAGAGAACTCAATGTGCTGCTGGCGCGCTGTCTGATTTGTCAGATGCCTGTATTCACTCAGCCGCTTCACAGACAGCCTGCTAGTAACTTTACCGAATTTATTTCTCTTTTGCATGTTATGGTCCTTGTGTGTGTAAAACAAGACAATAAAAGGTCTGAACTTACCTCATTTGGCAGAAAAGGTGATAGTGTTATCCTTGAAGAATTTGCGATGCCAGATCTTCACTTAGTTGTATCTTCATCTCTTTTAAATTAAGAAAGTAATTTAAAGTGCCAGCTTTTGTTGAAGGCTTTAAACTAACTACGTTAGAACTGCGCTTCAGATTTATCACAACTGCTCCTCTTCAGTTATGACAGATGCTTGAAACGATATGATCAGCACTAAATACAGCGCATCAACAACAATTAAAAGTTAATAAACAATTAAAAGAGTAACCTTCGTAAGTAAGATGTGTGATGATAAGCAGAAAATGTTGAATGTGACGGCTCCGACATTCATTTGCCAAACAAGCCAGACCTTAACTAAATTAATGTTACGTCAACAGTTTATGTGACATTTAGCAACATAGTCTATAATTTACCACGGAAGTGTAGAAACTTTAAAATGTAGAAACTTTAAAATGAAACTTTCACCGATATCTCCGTGAGTAATGGTGCCTGCTCTTTCACTGGTTTCGTGCCGATAAGCGACCAAGGTTCTCGATCCCACAATGCAAAGCGTAATTCAAAAATACGGGAAAACACATGTAAAAACCAAAAACGGAAAAATTACTTTAAATATTACGGTATATTGTACTGTATATTGACAGTTTTTTCTTACAATGTAGAGATTTTACAATGCTAAAAACATTGATACTTTTATTGGTCGAAACTGAACATATAGGAATGTATTCTGATTGGTCGCCGTGATTTTGCCAAGCAAGACATGTTCCTGGATCAACATCTTTTGTTGATCCTGGATCAACATTACTGTCCAAAAATACAGACTTAACCCAATCCCCACCCCTAAACCTAACCTTACCCATAATTTATTCCTAAAATCAGAGGGAAGTGATAGCTTATTAACAAGGGTGTAGAAGCACCTAATCCTGATTGTAAGCCTAAAACTGACATTTCCTGAAAAGTTATCTCTCAATTCTGATTCATGATTGGAATAATGTTCCAGGATCAATAAGAATGTTGATCCAGGAACATATTGTACTTGGTCAAATCACGCTCACCATTCTGATTACATTTAATTATACTCGAGCAAGAGAAAGTGCTATATAAATGCATATGAAATTCATATAATATATACAGTAAATCCTGTAAATGAGAAAATAGAAAATTGCCCGAAGTAGCTTAGATCAGCTTTTAATAAAGAGACATCACAAGCCTATGCTTGTTCCTCTCTGCCCTCCTACACCACAGTTTAACCCTGGTACACTCTGTTCTCGACCTAAAGTACTATGATTCATGAATAAATAAACACATCCAATCTTTTAAAAAGGGGTAATAATAGATTGTCATAAAGGTAATTATCATTTGTCCTATTTGGAGGGTGCTGAGACAAAAAGTGCTGAACGGTTTTGTTGCATGATCATATATTCTAAAAAAAAAAACAGGCTATTAGAAAATGGCCAGAGGGAGGAAAACGTAATTGCATCGTTTAAAACAACCCATAAGAAAAATTACTTGATATATATGACTTGCTTCACAGACATAACATTGGAGCTTTTCCTTTCATTGACGTTTAAAGCTGTCATAGCAGGATCATAGCAGACCGTAACTGTCATGCTTGATGTTCTCACAAAGCACCTGAAACATCGATGTGTTGATGTACTGTATTTGGCCCTTGTGCTTGTGCCGTGTTTACATATATCACGTTTCTCAGTCGCGTGTTTCATCCCTTGTCGGAATGAAGTGATCACCCCTTTTTCTTTGCCCTATCAGATGCACACTCGGGCTTATCCTCAGCCAATTGGAAGAGCCGTTGAGCTGTGTTAATGAGGTTACTGTGAACCTGGCCTCCGCTGTTAGCAAACAGACTTTTACTATGCCAGACATGACTGATTGGCACTTTGTATGTCTTTGTAATTCACTGAGGATGAAAACCAAGTTCTTGTTCTTTACAAAATTCCTTTAGATTGCTCATAGCCACCCACACAGTGGAAGCCTCTCGTTGCATCTAGACTTTAAGGGAAAAAAAAGAAAGTGACTTAACATGTGGCCAAGTATGGTGAGCCATACTAGGAATTAGTGCTCTGCATTTATCCCATCCTAAGTGCACACACACAGCAGTGAACACACACACACACTGTGAACACACACCCGGAGCAGTGGGCAGCCATTTATGCTGCGGCGCCCGGGGAGCAGTTGGGGGTTCGGTGCCTTGCTCAAGGGCACCTCAGTCGTGGTATTGAAGGTGGGAGAGACTTCTCTGTCTGTCATGTTTGAGCAGTTTAGTGCATTCATTTTGAATAAAATTTCTTTAAAGTTTTACTGACTTCTGAATGACATTTACAGTGGGGCAAAAAAGTATTTAGTCAGCCACCAATTGTGCAAGTTCTCCCACTTAAAAAGATGAGAGAGGCCTGTAATTTTCATCATAGGTATACCTCAACTATGAGAGACAAAATGAGAAAAAAATCCAGAAAATCACATTGTAGGATTTTTAAAGAATTAATTGGTAAATTCCTCTGTAAAATAAGTATTTGGTCACCTACAAACAAGCAAGATTTCTGGCTCTCACAGACCTGTAACTTCTTCTTTAAGAGGCTCCTCTGTCCTCCACCTGTGTGTGTGTGTGTGTGTGTGTGTATACAGTACATATTATATATTAAAAGTAAATAAAACACCTAAAATGAATCTGTAAAACTATATAACTAAAAATGCCTCTTTTTTTGTAAATGTAAGTTTGAAATATGAATATTTATTTTTAGATTGGCTAAAGATTACATAACGTAAAAATATGGAAACATTTTACAATTAAATTAAAAATCTAGTGTTGGCCTACAATTTATATGTAATATATGTAAATCAATAGCTGGGTTTCCATCGAAACATGAAGCGAATCTTTTCAAAGTTTGCAAAAAAGAAAAACAAAACAAATGCTAATTAGGTGCATTTCCATCAGGTTGTTCGAGCAGATGATGGTGGTATTGGTAACCTAATATCCAACAGTAAATAAAACACAATCACTGGAAACAGCCAATTAGTTACGTGGGTTTAATGTTCACTACATCAGAATTTATTTGGCAAATGCGTTACCATCTCCCGTTATTCACATTACCTTGCTACTTGCTTAAGTGAGTGTAAAAGTGTTTTTACAAATTCAGCGATTTTTTTCCCCCCTAAAATTGGGCATTTCCACCACTTGTTACTGATGTGATATTTCAAAATATGCATAAAAGCAGGATTATGGATGCATAGCAACTGTTAAGATACTGTTACTTCATGCATATATAAAATCCTATAAAAAAATTGAAATTATTATTATATATTTTTTTACTTTCTTTCAGTTGGAGGCAGCAAACCAGCTTCTTCAGCAGGCCCAGCAGCCACACAGCTACCTGATTGAGACCGTGCGACAGAGAGACACTCAGATCCAAACACTGAAAGAACGTCTCACGCGAATAGAAGAGGAAGTAAGGTAAAGGGGAAGTAAATGATTATCACAGATTTATGGATACATCCTGTTTTTAATACAACAGCACCATTTAAAATCTTTACAAAGCTTTTATTTTGAAAGGATATAGGTGGAGTCACCATAGAATCATTGCCATTGTTTTGTAACAATAGTCGCAACGGTTTCTGACTAGTAATATGTGTGTTCCAAGGTATGCATTTGTATTGGCCGAGGTAGTAGGCAATATCTGAAATAACTTAAATACATTCCAACGTATTGAGGAGCAAAGGTAATGCGCCTGCCAATAAAGGTCAGGCTCCATCTGACAGGAGTGTGTGTGCGTGCATGCATGGCTAGATGTTTTTTCTTGGCTCTCTCACATGTCAATGACTACTGTAATCCCGTGCCTGTATGTGCAAACTGTACAAGCAGGTTTTCTCCTGTATTAGTGTCTTTAGAGGTCCTGGGGCTAATGTGAAAAATATACAAATTAATCTCCTACATATCAGCATCTAGCAGCTTTTATTAGAAGGTTACTTGTGGCTGGGGGATTGTTGAATAAGGATCATTTCAAAAATGTATACCTTTATATTGAAGTGATGGAGAGGTTAGTCTCGGTGAAGTTTGTCTGTTCAGTGCAAACAGGTGCTGTGCAGTCAGTGAGGTGTACGCAATTCATTTATCGCTCACTGATTTCACATTAGTTTTATTTTTTCTTAACTAGTTCTGTCAAGCCCTCCAGGTTGTGAGTTTGTTAACACCTCAGTGTTAATTCTGTAGAAATGGTAGTGCACTAAGAGATAAATACCTTCCCGCACACTATGTTTGTCATCACTCATTACTCATGCCATATGCTTGACAAAGATTTGCTCAGTTGAAATGCAGTTTTTGTCATGTATGACCATCAGTGCTGTATTTAACACGACAAGCAGGTGACTTTTACACTCGTATACCCTGAAGAAAATTTGATGTACAAATAATTCTCAAATAATTACAAAGAAACGGCAAGTAACACATGGAATTAAACATGAAATTTTGAAGTGTAAAGACTGAAATAGTATTTTGTAAGATATACTCTAGTAATCTAAATAATTTTTGCAATGTTGACACATTATCCTAAATGTATGCCACTGTTTTTAAAGGGGTCATATGATGCGATTTCAATTTTTCCTTTCTCTTTGCAAAATCATGATGCCTGACAGGGCATCATCACAATATGGTAAGGGGCGTAACATTTCCGTCACACGCTTGAGGTATTCGGCCAATCACAACGCACTGGATAGCTGGCCAATCACAGCACACCTCGCTTTTTTAGAACGATGAGCTTTGTAAAAATCGACACGTTTCAGAAAGGCGGGGCATAGAGGAGAAAATATAATGTACAGTGTGTGGAAAATAATGTGTTTTTTTAACCTTAAACTGCATAAACACATTTCATTACACCAAATACACAAAATAATGTTCTTTTTAGCAGCATCATATGACCCCTTTAACACATACGTAATAATTACTTGGTTGATACTTACATGGGTTAAAAATTCAATGAATTTTGTAAATGTATGTTACAAATTACTACACAGACTTGTCAAAGTTCAAGACATCTTCTCTTAGACATTTTTGGATGAATTTTTACAGTGCACTACGGAAAGAGAAGATTACACTGCTGCAGGTGAAAAACAACATGGCAGCAGATTTGGAGAGACTCCTGAACCACAGAGAGGTAACTGTTGTGTCAGCTGATTAAAAGGAATTCAATTCTCTCTTCTTTTTTTTCTCCTCTCTCTTGAATAAGAATAAGTACTCTAACCTATTTAGCCCCCGAGGTTTCAAAACACAGTTTGGTTTTGAATTCATACTTTAAAAGAAAAAAGAAAATAATCTAGAAGAACCTTAATATTGTGTCCTTGTTTATTTTACTGTTCCTTTGCTAAATGTTGTAAAACATACTGAACCCAAAATTTTGATTTGGATGTGTGCTGTGTATAGTTTGGCAGGATCACTATCCCTCAATGATCCGCCAAAAAAAATGTGTATGACTCTGTCTTGGGAGTCATACACATGATTAAGCTGCAAAATTGTGATTCATGCATGAAGTACTGTACATTAATATGTCATTTTACAATTCCAGTGGCATTTCCATAAAAAAATAAATATATATATATATACTCCGGAATTCATCAATAATATGTTAAAGTACTTTCATATTTCACACAATGTGTAAATAACAGGAGGAAGTTTTATTTTATTTGACTGACTGGCTCTTATGTAAGTTGTTACACCAAACTAAAGATCATAGAAACCACTAACCACTGACTAACTTCACAATACATTTGAAGGGGGAAAAATATTATTGTTTTTTCACTATTATTGTATTATAACTGGCATAATGGGGTGATGCATAATTACCATTCAAAAACCCTGATACTGTAAATGTAACATGTTACTGATTGTTCAGTCAGAGTCAATCCCCCACATGACCTTTAGTCTGAGGAATTTTCCATGAGTTATTTTTGTAGTGTTGATTTTGTAATGTTTGACGATTTATTTTTAATTAATTCTACATTTTATTATTTCAGTTTGTCAAATTTACTGTATTTTACAATTAATTTATTTTATTTTTTAAAGTGGAAGTGGGTTCACTTAGTTGCATTTTAAAGAAATTGCATACATATTTCTTTCTTTTTTTAGCAAATTCAAAATTAGTAATTATTAAAATAATACTCACTTAAAAACTGTTTTTTTGAGGAACGTTATCATACATTGTCCATTAAAGGTGTCCACACATGACTACAAGAGAGTAGTTCCCACATACACTAGTCTAGTTTAGGTGTGTCGTCTTTCATTATTACTCAGTCACTCAGCCTGCCTTTCCAATTAGTAGTTACACTGCGTACCTGCAGTTTACTCTCTAAACAAGTCATACCTTCACCGTAAAACCTATCATGCAAATTAGGAATCTGCAGCTCTAGTAACTGATGGATGCCTCAGCATTGTATGTTTAGGAAGCTCTCAGTACAGCTCAGTTGCGACAACGGCTTTCCTAGAAGTTTCTGAGATGCAGTGAATAACTAGAAAATCTAGTTTCCCATGCTCAAGTCATCAGATTAGTAACAACCTTGCTGCTTGGGGTTGTTTTTGATGACAGACAGCTAATACATTGCCTCATTGAGGGGAACCCATGTGTAAACCCAAAATCCAATTGTCCCATAGATTCAGAATTCATTGTTTTGAATGACAAGGTATGAAACAAAGAACAAGTCAGTACACCGTATGATTTTCTGTGAAATTTTGATTGTTGAATTGTGTTTCTATTAAATGAATGGAGTTGTCCTGTCTCTTAAAGGCACATGAAGGTACACAACACCTCCTCTGACATTCTGAACTCTTGGGATATTAAGGACAGGGCGTAACTTATTAAGCGCCGGCGCAATCTGGAGCTATTTTCAACCAAATACTGCTGGCACACACTGTGCCGACTTGGCATGTTGGCAGAAAGCATGCAATCCTCACAGACAGCTGCTCTTCACTGGCGCTTTTTGGCATGCCAGCGCATATGGTCGCGCAGTGATAAATAGAAATATTGAATGACTCTTACGCATCGGGCTGATCTACACTCGCATGAACCAGGCGGTCATGTGCTAGCAGGGGATATTTTACATTGTCGTTGTACGTGTGAATAGTAACCGTTTGCGTAAAGTGCTATGCGAAATTTTTAGGTTTTTGTTTTGACACCAAGACTTGCTTTCCTTTAAACAAGCTTTTTTTCTGTACGTTTTTGTAGCTGCATTCCTGCTGCATAATATGGAATGTCTGCCCCCTTTATTTTAAGACCTAAAGGCTTTTACTCAGGACAAGTACAGTTTTTGTGCAGTATTGTGTAGCCTTAAAAATATCTTCTATATCTGTCACCAGTGCTTTTCTGTTTAAAAAGCTTCTTGGCATCTGGGATTTGTTCACACAAGTCAGGGAAAAACATGAAGCATTTGTTTTTCCAGTCTAGCCACAAATTGCTGGGAAGTTGTAGCTGAGAACACAGGAATCATAAACATAGATGAACTCGCTCATTAATATGCAATTGTCTGCAAGTATTTTTTTTACCTACCAGATCTTCATAAGCATTTTTTTGTTTTAGTTATATTTCTACTTTTTTTTTTTTAAATAAATGTTAAGAAAAGCATAATAAATATTGCCGTTTCACTGTTTTTAAGCAACCTCTGTGTCACATTGTTTATAATGAGATACTGGGTAATTATTTTCCTTTGTGACATGTATGCAGCAACATTTTTCATCAAACCTGTATCCGTTCTCAGAACTGTATTACACTGATGACTTTAATGAAAGAACACTGTTGTGTTTGAGGGCGTTTCCTTCAATTGATTCAGAAGTATTTACACTAAAGCTTTGTAGAGGTACTCTCAGGGCACCCCTTGTACTGGAGAGGTTATGAAGATACGCCTCCAATTACCATTGAAGCTTTGAATGAAGTGTTTACATGAACCCCCAGGCTGCTCCAGCAGATTTCTGTAATGTCTTTTTGTATGTGATGTATTGTGAGCCACTTCCAATTAGAACATTAGAAAGAGAACAAGAAAGAATGAAAGAAGTATCTGCAAAAAAACAGACATAAAGCAATAGTTCATCCAAAAGTTAAAATTCTGTCATTTATTTATTCACGTGTCATTTCATTGGCACTGACCTTGTCCATCAAATGGTAGTATGGACAAAAAGCACTATGTAAGTAGTCCATATTATTCTTAATATCTGTCAAGCTCCAAAAATAATAAAATAGTAGCCTAAGCAACTATATTCAAAGTCTTCTAAAGTACTAAAATACGCTTTATTTTTCAACTGTCCTGACTCTTGCAAATGTTTGATTACAAGGCATGCAAAAGCAAATGGCATTTGGTGTCTGTAATGTGCTTTTTTATTATCTGAACACAGTTGTAAGTAGGATTTCAGAACTTCAGCGAAGGGGAAGATTTTCAGTCAATGGCACCACAAATTAAAATGTATTTATAATCCATTTTTAATTTGTTATATTGCTTTAAAAGTGGACTTTATATGGCTTAGGAATATAGTGCGCAAGTTGCTTCAAAGACTATAGAAATACAAAGATGATTCACTCCTATAGTTATGAATGGGAGAAACTGCAACGGGCAATATGGCGGGATAGTCCCGCCTTCTAAATGAAAGAGCCAATCGTTGATTTGTAAAGTCATTGCGTCACTGCAGCGGCCGTTAGAAGCTCCGGTTCCCATAGAAACCTGAGGCTGGACCAGCCCATGCACACGCGCAGTCTTATTAAGCGAGTTGGAGCTACGCATGCGCATTGGCTGGTCTAGCCTGAAAAATAAGCTTTTTGAACGCTATTTGAGCATAAGAAACAACATTCATGGGGCAGTTCATTTCAGATTGTGTTGCTGATTTGAAATATGTAATTTAATCGTGCGTTCAGCGAGCAGCTTTTGAGATTTCAGGATTCCCCCATTCATTTAGATAGGACTTGGTCTTGTTTGACCTGCCCGGAGGCGTTGCAAATATGGCGGCCGAGTGAACCGACTTTCCTTGAAAGGGACTTTGGTTGCTTAGGCTTGTTTTGTTATTTTATTTGTCGACAGATAGTATCACTACAAGCTGTTGCATGATAAAAAGGTGTGCGGAAATTCCAAATTCTCCTTTTGTGTTTCATGGCAAAAAAATATATGCAAATAATAGTGTTTTAAATGACTTGCGGTTGTATGGATGCTACGGAATGTTGACATCTTATGTCAGGACACATGGGATGTTTGTGTTTGCAGTTTCAGTCTTAATTGTCCTACCTAAGGGCATAGCACTGCTGGCAAAACAAGACTGCAATCGAAGCACCACAGAAGCTGCAGGCTCTTTCTTACCTGTTGTGAAGGGGAAGCGCTTTAACCTTCAGGCTACCACTGATTTGTTCTTACTCTGTTGCAGGAACTTTCTGTGATGAAGCAAGTCCTGCTTAGCATGCGCTCACAGCAGCACGGTGGGCCTCTGTCTGTGTCCCAACCTGAGCTTGAGACTGATGGCGTTGGTACAGCAGTTCATAGACCCAAAGCTTTAAAAAGCACAGACGAGGAGCAATACAACTATGGTCCCAAACCCACAGTGTTTGTAAGTTTTACTTGACTACCCATGTACAGAGCCTTTCAAACAACATTTTGTCTTCTCTATGAACTAAAAAATGACACTTTTATTTTGTCAACTTTCATATTCTTTCTATTTAGCTTTCTATTTGAGCTGATATCTACTTGCGGCTAGACTCACATTAACATTAACATTTATTTTACTCCGAGTAAAGTCCAAAGAAATCATCAAAGATATTTAACAATGTTGTTTTTTGTTCTTTCAACAGACCAATACAGAAGTTCCAGAATGGTACAGAAAAGTACACGGAAAACTAAATAGAGACTTGTTCAACTTGTTTAAGACTTAAAGGATGATCCATGACATGCAATCACGAATGAAAGTCTGTTTTAAAAGACCTATTACATAACTAGATACACATGTTTGATGTGTAGTCATGAAGAATGTGAACGTCAAACTATGAATTTTCCTTTTAATGGTAATAAATCATTCAAACAGGCATGTGAAATTGTTTTTAAAGTAGGCCTATTTCAAATTGTATAAGCACTCATAGCTTTACAGTATCGGAATATAAGCATTTTTATCTTCACCCTGAAGAGATATCTCAATATTGAATGTATCATTTGATGGTAATAAGATCTGGATCCTTCCGTTTTAATTCGTAAGACGCGAGACACGCTGTTGATAAAAATAGAGGAGCGCGCGCATACCTTAATCGCAGCCGCATCGCGCGCTTATTTGTGTCATCTTAATGTTAGGCTCGAATGTCCAACAAGAACAGCGGTAGCAGTGAGCTGCATTTTATTGATTCATTTCATTGATTCTGTCTGCTTGGGATGGATATTTTTATTTGCCGTGTTGTGTTACTTTTAAATGTGAAATTATGGTAAACATTTATTTTCCATTGGGATCGTTTACCGTTTGTAAATAAGCCTTATTTTACAGCTAAACAGTAAACGCAGACGTGCTGACAGACACGTATTTAAAACTTGGTAGCAGCTGTACCTAGTTATTAGGGATGAGATCTCAGATGAGATTTCAGATGAACAAAACAGATAATAAATCAGATATAATAATAATAATAGGCTAATAATAATAATAGTAAGTCAAATTAATATGTTATTGCAAAACGTGTATAACATTTTTAGAGGCGACAAAAATACGATAGAATATAATTGTCCTATGTAGGCCTACTCATAAAAATAGCCTACTAAACAAGTGTAGCCCTAAAATGAAACGTGCATTCATTTAAAAATGCTACTGATTACATCAATTCAGTCATTCTTGAGAAGTGGGACAAAACAGGGTGCAAAATTGAAGAGAAAAAAACTTGTACTCAGACAAATGAAACTACATTTATGTATCTTATATGTACTAAGCTACTGAGCTATGCTTTGATACAACCTCCCAACTTTTCTCTTTTTTAACAAAATGTGCTTGTCAAATAATTTCCTCTGAAATTGGAAGATGGTGTTGACATCATGGCTGTGACACAGGAAATATTAACATTAGGATTTAAAATATTCTAAAACTAAAACTTAGCAGAGCCTGTCTGACACTGATGTACTCTGCAGAGGTGAACTGTGACTAGGGGGTCTTTTAGAGTGACAGCTGTCCCTGGTATTCCCTGATTTTATTACATTTTATTGAATGTCTGACGGTGTTGACAAAAAGTGGGGACGCAACTTTAAAATCTTATGAAACATGCATGTGTCATTAAAAAAACATCCTTGCTTTGATAGGAGATATTAAGTGTTGCTTTTTGATAAAACAAGCTCTTTTTCATCATTAAAAAAAAACATTTTTATCCATTTTATTGCATATGAATGATTGAACCCTTCTCTGTGGACACACTGTTTTAGATGTAGTGAGAGGACATTAAGAAACACAGATTTGGTCTAATAATGAGAAAATTAAATTGAAGGTGATAATTGTGTTAAATGCATTCTATTATCAATCCCTCATGACATTTCAAATTGAAAATATTTTTATTTTTTAAAGCTAATTGCAGTTACCCTTGCTGGACCTGTTTTGTCCCACGTCTCAAGAATGACTGAATTGTCATAATGTGTAGCCTATCACATTAAGTACAACATAACATGATATGTGCGTTCTGTAAGTGACTAACAGATTAATCCAGTAAGAGAGTCATAAGTGTTGTTGATTCTTTTAAAGAGTCGCGAATCGGACAACCCTTGCCACGCTGTATGTTGGTTCATTTAAAAGAACCGACTCACAAGAGTCACTCGTTCGTGTATCCGACTTCCCTCAAAAATATCTGCTTTTACGATTTGTTATTGGCTATTTGCTTCACTGCTGTAGCTAGCTATTTTGACAGACACACTTTTTCTGTATTGTATAAAATAATGTTTTATCATAAAATGCACTTAGAATTAGCCTATAAAAATAATGAATACAATTCGAACACACATTAGGCTATTTCTGTTTATAGTCAGTTGTGATTTTTTTAAGTAGCCTATGCTGTACTGTTGTCAGTATTGAAATGCTAAAGGAAATGCGTAAAGGGGTGGCATTGAACTTTTTTTGACGGGTTTGTTGCGCTGTTAAGAGCAGTAGTAAAGGTGTAGCCGTCTCTCTTTCTCAGAGGGAGGCCCCGCCCTTCAGCGATTATACACATATATCCCGGAGCTCCGGGAACGGAGCGAAGCGAAACGGGACATTACTACCGAAAGCGAGCGCACATACATAGGCACGGGTGTCATTCCATGCACCAAACACTCAGCTCCCTTTCCTTACAGCGTCTATCAAAACACATCTTGCGGACCCTCTCTCCGTCACATCCACGGCTTTATGGCCGCTACGCTTCTTACGATGAGCGCTGCGCTCGCACCGGGACAAGATGACTTTCTCTCGCTTCTCAAACCCTCACTATCCGACGGCTTTCAGGAGGACTCCTCTCTGTTTTCCTTTGAAACCAAGAATCCCGACACGGAAAGGAGCGTATCAAACGACTATTCTCAGGTAATTGTTCTTATCGGTTCTTTGAACGGAGCCTCGCTTTTTCGTTTTGCTCGAGATGTGACTGTATCACTGGATGCATTAAAGATCAAATGCATGCATGCAGTCGTGTGTGTGAAAGGTGGGCCGTTGTAGATGATGCGGCAGGCTGCACGCCTGCAGTCCCATCAGCATCATGCACCATCAAATGCATCAAGCCATGTGCGATTCTTTCATTTGTGGATTTTTTCCTATTCCATACGATCATTTTAGGAGGGGGGGGGATGTAATCTAGTTTAAAATAAATTTTACATTTAATTGTTTCCGTAGCCTAATAGGCTACTGTTCGTCGTTTGAATTGCTCAAATGTTACATTATCAAATTCTTGGAAATTTGGAATTTTGTCCCCCATCCAGATTTTCAATAAACGCACAAAAAGTGTTACATTCAGGGCAACTCTACTTTACACTTTGTCATAAGAACGTATTTCAGTGTATTAGTTATATAGGCCAATTTTAACAAATAATCTCTGCTTGTATTTTTATAACAACTAATCACTCATTTCCATCATAACATAATCTAATTTATCTATCTAGGCTATCAATTACACTAGGTCAGTTAAAAAATGTAAGAAATGAAAGATAAATAAATATATTTGACATCATGATCTGCATTGAGTTTTTCTAGGTGTTATTATCAAAGAAGGTTATTATTTGTGAATTTAACCCTTTAACTGTCACTCTCATTTTTGAACATAGACGTGGAAGTGCACTATCCAAACTAAAAATTGTATAATTCATGAACGAAAACATTTTGTAACATGATATTGATGTACCATTTTCATGGTAATGCAATGTTTGATTTTAAAATGGGTTTCAAAGGATGAATTTTGAGATTTAAAGTTTTCAATTGATATATAATTGCTGATGATTTCTAAAGTGTGATAGAGAAAAAGGCAACTAAGAAGACTTTTTGACAAAGGTCAGAACTCCTGATATGATGTAGATTTTGGAGGTGCACTCCTGTCATAAATTAATCTATTACTTTTCCTACATAGATATTTTACCAATGTTAAAAAAAATATTTAGGAGCCTTTCTAACGATATATAGTTTGTCATGATTAGATTAGGATTTAATTGTAATACTGTGAAGTAAACTTAGGCGTCCCACAGAGGGGACGGGTGACAGTTAAAGGGTTAAATTTAGGTTTATTTTTTATTAGAAATTCAAAGTAAATTTTCTACGCAACTGGTGTTCGCTACTTCAGTGCTTATCCAAATCTCCAAGTGCAAACAAACAATAGCCTAAGTAAGTAAATAAATAAGTAGCCTACATAAATGTCATTACCATAACACCTGGGCTAGCATAATATGAAGAATCACCACTGCTCAAAATTTGAAGTAGTCCAAAGCGTCCTCCAATGAAGAATCACTCGTGTATTTCAGAAGGATTCGGTCATGTTTTGGGGATTTCCCCGTGGCTGTAACGCAGGGGAGCGCACAGACTCCTGTCAGTTGCTTGCAGTTGGTTTCTTGGCTACCGAACCATCAACAACTGACTCTTCTCCTCACCCACGCGCGCAGTTCTTGTGCTCCTGAAACTTCCCAGCAACGCCGAGCCTCAATCTGAAAACTTGTGAAAGAGATACATGTCTGGCGAACAGCTGGAAGATCTAAATCTAGAAATAGCTATGTGTAGCAGCCGCGTAAAGAGCTCTGGCATTCCGAGTGTCTGTATGCATGTATGTGTGTGAGTGTTTTTATTTTTCCTCATGTTTATTCTTCTAATGACTCCGTAGATGTTACTCTCAGGAAATGATGAATGAGTCTTGATTGACTATTTTCTGCTGATTACGGTTTTATGATAATTGGGATGCATTTATTTGGAAAGGCTGAGCAATCTCTCCAGCTTTCCACCTGTCAGCAAGTCTGTTTTGAGCTTGTGGTATGAGCGCTGTTTTACAGTCTAAGGCGGAATGTAGCAGAGACATATCGAAGAAGACTTGATAAATGCTTTACCTCTGACTGCTCCATACAGCAAAACAAACGATTCATGCTCACAATATATACACTATCACAGATCAGCTGATACAACCTCAAGTTCTGATTTTTAGGTTTTATATCTTGACTTTGAGTGAAAATCATACTTTTACTCATGTTGGTAGTGCAGATACACTGTAAACATAATACATTCAATGACAGCAAAATGAGATACATTTTACTAAAAAAATATATGAAATGATTCATTATTAGTTAATAAGATTTAAAGACCTGTCTGTTAATCGTTCAGCAGAAAGGATTATCGGTTTCTTCAAAATTGCCAAATATCGGTCATTTAGCCTGGCCGATAAATCGGTTTATCACTAGATGTATATATTTAGTTTTACCTGTGCTAATACTTGCCTTTTCTTTTTACTAAAACTTTGTTTATTTCCTTTTTTACTATGCATTCAAGGTTAATTGACTTCTATTACCATTATTATTGCTATTAC